TTTTCATTAGTTTCCACAAAGTTTTTTTTTTTTTTTAATTCTGCCTTGATCTCATTGGTAACCCATTAATTTTTTAATAACATACTGTTTAGCCACCATCTATTTGAATGCTTTTGAGTGTTTTTATTGTAATTGATTTCTAGTTTCTTGCCATTGTGATCTGAGAAGATGCTTGATATGATTTCTTGAACCTGTAGAGACTTAGTCTGTGTCCTAACATGTGGTCTACCTTCAAGAATGTCCCTTGTGAATTTGGGTTTCTTTGTTGTTGTTTTGTTTTTGTTTTTGTTGTTGTTGTTGTTGTTGGTGGTGGTGGTGGTGTTTATTTTAGAGGGAGGGGAAAGAGATAGAAACATCAATGAGAGAGAAAATCAGTTGGTTGCCTCCTGCATGCCTCTCCACTGGGGATTCGGCCCACAAGCTGGGCATGTACCTTGACTGGGAATCGAACCAGTGACCTCTTGGTGCATGGTTTGACATTCAACCAGTGAGCCACACCAGCCAGGCCCCTTGTGCATTTGAAAAGAATGTATATTCTGCAGTTTTGTTGTGAGATGCTTTGTAGATATCAATTAAATCCATCTGATCTAGTGCATTATTTAGTTTCTCTGTTTCTTTGTTAATTTTTTGTCTAGCAGGTCTATCCAGTGATTTCAGTAGGGTTTTAAAGTCTCCTATTATTAATGTATTGCTATTGATCTCCCTTGAAATCCTCCACAAATTTTTAATATATTTTGTTTCTCCTATATTGGGTGCATTTATATTTAACAGGGTTATATCCTTTTGTTGGATTAATACTTTTAATATTATGTGCTGCCATTTGTATCTTGTTATGGCTTTCATTTTGAAGCTGTTTTATCAGATATGAATATTGTTGCTCCAGATTTTTTGTTTTGCTTTGTTTCCATTTGCATGGAAAACTTTTTTTCATTCCTTCAGTTTTATCCTATATGAGTCTTTTGTTCTGAGATGGGTCTCTTGTAGACAGCATATATATGTGCCCTGTTTTTTAATCCATTCAACTACCCTGTGTCTTTTGATTGGAGCCTTTAATACATTTACATTTAAGGTTGTTATTGATAGGTACTATTTTTTTATCTTTGTTGTTGAATGTATTACAGATGTTCCTCATTTTTCCCCCATTGACCCCCCTCCTCCCCACTCCCTCCCCTCTCCCGCCTTTTCCCACACTGTTATCTGTGTCCATTGGTTATGTATATAAATTCTTTGGTTTATTTCTACACACCCTGCAACCTCTTTCCCTTTAAGGTTTCTCAGTCTAGCAACAAATTAGTATTTCTTAATCCCTTCACCTTTTTCACCTATCTTCCCACCCCCCACCCATCTGGCAACCAACAAAATGTTCTCTGTATCTATGAGAATGTTTCCGTTCTGCCTGTTCATTTTGTTTGTAGATTCAATTGTCGATAGATATGTATGTACTCACTGCTGTTTTGTTTATTCATATATTTTATCTTTTTCTTCAAAAAGACCCTTCATCATTTCATTTAAAAATGGTTTGGTGGTGCCCTGGCCGGTTTGGCTCAGCGGTTAGAGCGTCGGCCTGCGGTCCAGAGAGATCCGGGTTCGGTTCCCGCTAGGGGCACGTACTTCGGTTGCAGTTTGTCCCCGGCCCTGGTTGGTCGTGCGGGTGGCAGCCACTCGATGTGTCCCTTTCACATCAATGTTTCTCTCTCTCTCTTCCTCTCTCTCCCTCCCACTCTATCTGTACAAAAGAAAAAAATGGAAAAATGTCCTCAGGTGAGAATTAAAAAAAAAAAAAAAAAAAAATGGTTTGGTGGTGATGAACTCCTTTAGCTTTTCCTTGTCTGGGAAACTCTTTATATGGCCATTGATTCTAAATGATAGCTTTGCAGGATAGAGTAATCTTGGTTGTAGGTTCTTGCTTTTCATCACTTTGAATATTTCTAGCCACTCCCTTCTGGCCTGCAAAGTTTCTTTTGAGAAATCAGCTGACAGCCTAATGGGAACTCCCGTGTAGGTAACTAACTGCCTTTCTCTTGCTGCTTTTAAGATTCTCTCTTTGTCTTTAACCTTTGCAATGTTGATGATGATGTGTCTTGGTGTGGGCCTCTTGGGGTTCATCTTGTTTGGGACTCTCTGTGCTTCCTGGATTTGTATATCTGTTTCCTTCACAAAGTCAGGGAAGCTCTCTGCCATTATTGTTTCAAATAGGTTTTTGATTTCTTGTTCTCTCTCTTCTCCTTCTGGCACCCCCAAGATGCAAATGTTTGAAGTTGTCTCAGAGGCTCCTTACACTATTCTCATTTTTTGGATTCTTTTTTCTTTTGCTGTCCTGATTGGGTGTTTTTTTGCTCCCTTATATTCCAAATTGATGGTTTACTTCTTCGCTTTACCTACTCTACTATTGAATCTTTGTAAATTATTCTTTATTTCAGTTAGTTCCTCCTTCATTTCTGACTGGCCCTTTTTTATGCTCTTGAGGCCCTCACTAAGTTTGCTGAGGTTCTCACTAAGTTCATTTAGCATCCTTATAAGCAGTATTTTGAACTCAGCATCTGTTAGGTTGCTTATCTCCATTTCGCTTAGTTCTTTTCTTGGGGTTTTGTTCTGTTCTTTCATTTGGGACCTGTTTTTTTGTCTCCTCATTTTGGCCGCCTCCCTGTGTTTGTTTCTCTGTATTACTTAATGAGAGGTATGGGGCTTGCTGAGACCAGATGTTGCTTGTGTGAAAGAATTTAGGAAAACCTGAGGCAGGATCCAAGACAGGCCAATCCTATGGTTAAGCAACTGGCAACAGCTTAGGTGGGCCTGAAAGTTTGGTGTGGCAGGGCAACCAGTGTGAGCCAGGTTGCTGGAGTCCCAGATATGGTGGGTGTCTACCGCCCCAGGGAAGGGCTCACCAAAGGAACAAAGGCCTCTGAAAGCACATTTGTCCTGGAGAAAGCCCCTCTCCAGCCCTCACTCTAATGCCAAGCAGCTCAGTTCTTCCCTGTATGTCTCTGGTGTCCTTCGAGCTGCCTCCCCTCCAACCTTAGAGGGAGTGAGTCAGATAAGTCTGTGCACAGGCCCTTTAAGAGGAGCTTCCTGGGGCTCCAGCTGATTCAGCATCCCTGAACCTCAGTTCCCACTGTTTTTTCCAGCCAAAAATTATAGGGACTTCTCTTCCTGGCACTGGAACCATGATTGGGGCACCTGGTGTGGGATGGTTACCCCTCAGTCCTCAGGGAGGACCTTCATAGCTGAGCTATCCTCCTGACTTTTATCTGCTATAGGTGGGTGTGGGACCAGCCCCTCTACCTTCGCCCCTCCTACCAGTCTCAATATGGCTGCTTCTTTAATTCTGTAGTTGTAGGACTTCCATTCAGCTTGATTTCCCACGATTTTGAATAATGGTTGTTCTGTAGTTTAGTTGTAACTTTGATGTGGTTGTGGGAGGACGCGCTACGGTGTTTACCTACTAGCCATCTTGACCAGAAGTCAATAGGTATTTATTTATTGCCATTTTAATTCATTATGCCTGTGTTTCTCTCTATTTCTTTTTATTGTTATAGCAGTCCCTTTAACGTTTCTTGCAATTCTGGTTTGTGGTGATAAATTCATTTTCAGTCTGGGAAGCTCTCTGTTTCTCCTTCTATTTTGAATGATAGTCTTGCTGGAGAAAGTAGTCTTGGTTTCAGACCCTTGCTTTTCATTCCCTTCTGGCCTATAGTGTTTCTGTTGAGAAATCTTCTGAGCATTATGGGAGCTCCTTTGCAGATAACCTGTTTGTTTGCTGTTTTTGCTGCCTTTAATGTTCTCTCTCTGTCTTTAATTTTTGGCATTTTAATTATGATGTGTGTTGGTGTGGGCCTCTTTGGTTTTTTCTTGCTTGGGTCACTGCACTTCCTGAACTTGTATGCCTTTTTCCTTCACCAAGTTAGAGAAGTTTTTTGCCATTATTTCATCAAACAGGTTCTCTAAGTCTTCCTCACTGTTTTCTTCTGATACTCCTATGATGCAGATGTTGTTATGTTCATGTTGTCCCACAACTCTCTTAAACTGTTCTTTTTGGTTCTCTGATTGATTGATTTTTTTTTCTACCCTGTCTTCTAATTCACTGATTTGATCCTTGGTTTTCTCTAATCTGATGTTTATTCTTTCCAGTATATTCTTTATTTCTGCTGTGTCGTTCTTGGTTTCTGATTGGTTGTTTTTCATTGTTTCTATATCTTTTCTTATGCTGTTAAGCATCCTTATAATCATTACCATGAACTCTATATCTGATAGCTTGCTTATTTCCATTTCATTTAGCCCTTCTTTTGGAGAACTCTTGTTCTTTAATTTGGGGTTTATCTTTGTTTCACCATTTTGTCTGCCTGTTTGGGTTTGTTTCTATGTATGAGGTTGATCTTTTACAACTCCCAGTCTGGATGAGGTGATTTTACACTGTAGTTGACCTGTGAGACCCAATGGCACTGTCTTCCTGATCACCAGACCTGGATGATCTAATAAGCTACCTTGTGTGCTTTGTGTAGGCTCTCCTGTTGTGATGGAGTCTTGATTGCTATTGACCCATTTGTGTATGGGCTTGACCCTCTGGCTGGCTGACAGTGATGCTCAACCTCCAACAAAATAAGCAGGCTGCTGTTCAGTTGCTTATCACTTGAAGCACAATTCACCTCAGGATTTGGAGCCTTCCAAAATCTCTCTGTGGATATCAACAATCCACAGTATGTGGCTTCCTATGCTGGATGTGTATGAACCAGACCAAGGTGAACACCAGTGTCTGGCTTTACTCTCCTGAGGCAGAGTGTATTCGCAAGACAGACAAAAATTCAAAGCACCCAGAGATCTGAATTTGCCTGAAGGCTGGCAGTTAACCTCCGTCATTTAATGGGCTTAGGCTATAGTCCTTCACTAGATGTTAACTCCACCCAGAGAAATTCTAACGGATGGGACGATTGCTTTTCCCTGGGCTAAAGATGATTTGATGGGATTACTCTACCTGGGAACAATGGCTTCTGCAGCTCAGGAGAATGACTCAGCACAGGGTTTCTGGTGTCTGCCTTCCTAGCTTGCTCCCCAAGGCCCTGAATCCCATACTCTCCTCATACAGCTCTAGTCCAATCAGCCCTCCCTCTGCCAGATCCCAAGGTGAGTGGCTGTATAAAAATTAAGTACACTGGCCCTTCAAGAGGGTGTCCATGCTTGCAGCCATCTCTCCCTGCTGGTCAGAATCTCTGGTGCCTTACGCAACCAGGTGTTATATGGGCACCATTCCCAGTTCTGACACTCTGGGCTGTGGCCCCAGCTTAGGGTTCAGACACCAGATTTCTCAGGGGGAACCCACTGCAGCTGAGATATCCCTCAGGAACTCCAGAGGCTGCCTGTGGGAGCCCAGCCAGCCCTCTTTTGCCTCTGCAACTCCTACCAGACTCAATGTGGGCTCCTCTTTACATCCTTGGTTGTAGGGGTTTTCTTCATCTGGTCTTCAGCTGGTTATTCCAACTCTTTTTTCCTATATTTTAGTTGTAATTTGTTTGGTCCTGGGAGAAGGTCAGTGTAGCTTCCATTCAATCTGCCACCATTTTTTTCTCCACTCCTTTCTTTACTGACATTGATTTCTAGTTATCCTCTCCCTTAGGATGGTTCCCTCTTTCTCAAAAATACCAAATTCGTCTCTAAAACAGGGATTTTTTTATTTAGTTTTCCTTCCTCACCAGATTGTCACACAAAACTTTTTCCTTCTCATCTTTTGGTCCTCAACTTCAACTTTACCTATTTAAAAGTAACTAGTTGATACTTTTCCCTCTCCCCATGCATTTTCTCCATCATTTCAATCTGAAATCTTTTATACAAATTTTATTTTCTGTCTCCTGGAAGTTGCCTATAAGCCCTGTGAGAGGAGGTTGCTTTTTGATAGCTATTTAAAAGTAACCAGTTGATACTTTTCCCTCTCTCCATGCATATAAACTAGAATCTTCTGATTTTAGTTTATAGGTGATCTGTAAATATTTGCTCATTGTAGAAGGAGTGAATTATAAAAGCTGTGGTATTTAAAAGTCATCAGCATCAGTGCCCTGGCTCAGTGACGTTGTTGGTTGGAACATCAGTTCACACACGAAAAGGTTACGGGTTTGATTCCCAGTCAGGGTACATACCTAGGTTGCAGGACGATCTCTGGTCAGGGCACATAAGGGACTCAAGAACTCATATCAATATTTCTCTCTCTCTGCCCATTTTTCTCTAAAATCAATAAACATATCTTCAAGTGTGGAGAAAAAATGCAACCTTTCTTTAAAAAAAAACAACAAAAAACAAACATTAGTATGAAATTTAAACTCTCTTCTTTTTTGGTGGTTAATCCTCACCCAAGGACACTTTTCCTTTTTTTTTTTTTTAGATAGACTGGAAGGGAGAGGGAGAGAGAGAGAGGGAAGCATCAGTGTGTTTCGCAAGACCCGACTGGAAGTGAGAGAGGGAGAGAGAGACAGAGGGAAGCATCAGTGTGCCCTGCAAGACCCGACTGGAGCAGAGGATCGAGCTGGCAACCCAGATATGTGCCCTTGACCCGGAACCAAACCTGCGACCCTTTGGTCCTTGGGCCAAACCTCTAACCACTGTGCCAAACTGGCCAGGGCTTAAAACTCTCTTCTTATTCTTACTTTTTAATAGTGTATGCATTTGTCATCAGTGTTCTAATAAGAGTATTTACAAAGTGCATATTTTAAGTCAGATTTGGTATAGCCTTTACTTTCAAAATATTGTGGAGCATGGTACTTTAAAATTATATTCTATTGCTATGGAATTATTATATTGTGCACTATACATATAAGTTTATGAAGCTTCATGATAGTCAAAATTCACGTGGAATATATAGTATACACTTGTGAAATTCATGTGGAATATAGAGTATACACAGTATACACTATGCTTATTAAGTACTTGAGACAGTTTTGCTTGTTATAATTTACCTACCTTGGTTCTCAAACTGTATTTTCAGAGAGCTAAGGGTGCTAAATTGTGAAATTAAATTTTTAATCTTAATATCATAGTGGATTTTTTTTTCTTTTGGAGGGTCTCAGGAATGGACTACCTGCAAATGTTAACCTAGACAAGTATGTGGACAGTAGAAGATGGAGTGACATGCCTTCATCTCCATGCCAGGGTTTCTGAACGGTGGCACTATAATATAGGGTGCTCCCCCAAAATGTATACACAACATTGAATAATTATGAAACCAGTGTTTATTAAAATACATTTCATTTTCAAAATGTAATAGAATCTATATACACCCTGAATACATTTAGATGGGGACACGCTGTATTTTGGGATAGATGTTTCTTTCCTCCAGGATTATATTTTGGGCATTTTAGGATATTTAGCAGCATTTCTGATCAGTATTACCTTCCCCTTCCACTGTGACAACCAAACACATATCCATATTTTGCCAAATATCTCCTGAGGAGGCACAACAGGCCCCACTCCTGTACATATAAGAGATGCTATTTGTAAGGATTCCAAAATATTTTTTACAGGCTGTTTTGGCCCTGAAAACATTGGTTCTAAATTTCTTTTGTGGGCCCTCTTCCCAACGCCATCTCTCTTTTCCATGAAGAAATTCCAGAATATTTATGTCAGTGACTCTAGATCATATTTAATTTTTTTAATTTTCCTTAAGTTTCTAATATTTATATCTAAATTTTTAACAATATTGGTTAGGCTGTAGGTTGACTTGACTCACATTCCACCACCCTCAGAATAGAAGTGTGTGTGGACCACATATACTTAATAGAAACATTATTGAAAGACAAAAACACAAACCTTAAGCTTTGTCAAAACAGTATTCTTGAGCTGAAATTTTAATCTGTAGATAACTGGGGCAATTCTAAATGTATTGCTGCTTCTATTTTTCTGTCCAAATACAAACTGTATTACTTGTTCCTATTTCAGGACCTCTGGGAAATGGTGACCTACCTGGCTCCCCACGTGCCTATGAGGCTGACCCCTCGGTCTCACCACCTGGCTGTCCAGGTGCCGATCCAGTGGGCTTTCCGGTCCGGCTCCAGCCAGTGCGTCATCAGCCAGGTTTATCTGAAGCGGTACCAGAGATGCCAGAACCAGCACCTACATCAGACTGTCCACCAGGGCTGGAATGTTTAAACCAGGTGATTTCAAACACTTAAAGCAGTCATAAAAAATCAAAACGGTGCTTCCATTTTACTTATTAACAAATGACTAATTCACAAAAGTCTGAAATGGTAAAACAACATATTTTTGCTAACAAATGATTTCTTCTACGTCAGGTTTACTTTGAAAGCAAATTACAAATGGCTAGAAGTTGTGTTTTCTATGATCTTGAATATAATCTGTGATAATGGCGAATAGCAAACATTTATTAAGCACCATTTTCCAGGCTTTGTTTCTAAGTATAACACAAGTATTAGCTCATTTCATCCTTTTAGAAATTCTATGATATGTACGTGCTACAATTACTACCATTTTACAGAAGAAGAAACTGAGGTCCAGAGAAGTTACATAAAATGCTCAGCATCAAGATGCCAAGGAAGTAGGAACGGCTTTTTACTTTGGAACCTTGGTTCTGTCTCCTGGGCTTCTTAATTCCAACACTAAATAATTTCCCAGGAGTAGGAAATAAACAGCAAATAAAGCTTAGCTTCAATAAGTGGTACCAAAAAAAGAGTTAAAATTTTTGTATAATATGACTCTTTTTTTTTATTGTAATTAATAAAATGATATTTTTATGATGCTTTTGTTCTTTGTAAAACCCAATTTTATAAATACTATTGTCAACTGATAGTTGTTAGTACCAGTTCAGTGCCTACAGGGATCCCCTATTTAGGGTCAGTGAAGAGGGAAACTAATCAATGCAAACAACTCAGCTGAAAGGCAGCACGGCCTTGGAACAGCATGGGTGTGAGGCACCCCAAGGGTGAGGCCTCTCTGCAGCTGGACAGCTGTGCCCAGCCCCAGTCCACTCGGGTCCAGTGCACTCCACTTGTTTTCTCTGTTACACCTGCCCTGTCTGCTCCCTTCTGGTCTGGTGAAACATCTTTGGTGTTGCATCTCCGGCCAGGGAACCTGTTTTCAGTGTTGGGTGGCAACACAATAGAGAGCCCAGATGAATAGTGAACACATTCAAGATCCTTTTTAAATGTAAATAATACTGAGAATATTGACAAAATTTATATTCACGTGCATTTTAAAAAATATAAAAATGACTTAATTTGGTTAACTTAAATAATATATACTTATAGCTGAATTTTTTACTATAATAGATGGATGAGATAAGGATTCATCAGCAAATTGATCTTCTGGAAGGTATGTATTTATCCTGTTATCATATTTCTATAGAGAGAAGACTTTTATGCAGATAAAGGCACATCAACAACCACAAATATAACAACTTTTGCAGATGCATTGTTTAAGCCTCATTATTTATAAATGTCTCTCTTCCTGATAGTAAAATAAAGATTATCATCAGCTTTTTTCTAGAAATTAGGAGTCAAGTGGTAAAATACTATTTCTGTGGGCATCTTCCCTCATGATACTGAATCTAATTTAGAAGAATAGCCAAACCTTATCTTTGTTCCCCCTTCACTCTAGAAATCACCTTAGTTAAATCACTTTAGTGATTCTATTACTTTATCTGACTTGTATCACTGTAGCTATTTTATCCCCAGCTTGTGATAACCTTGATAGTGACACAGAACCACATGCGATAGTTCATATCACCTTAGTCCATTTCCAAAGCAAGTGAACTTTGTTAGTGGTGGGGTATGTTTTGGAAAATCATATTCCTTTCCACAGTTTCTCTTGGAAGTTTAGATGAGCCCTGTAAAACCTTGTTCCACAGACTGAGTTACCAGCTCAGATTACGCAACACTACAATGTTGGACTGTGCTGACCAGCAGGTCCAGTGGCCTAGCTTCCTAGAACAGCACTCCTCATCATTGTGCATGGCACTTTTGACTCTACAAGATGTTTCCGGTGCTCACCAAGTCTAAAAATAAACTTAGAAGCCACTGGATGTTTCAGGACCACCGGCAGAGAAAAAGGAACCGGGTAGTTTCATTGACTATACTGTCTTCCTTCTAAATATAAGAAGTTGCAAATAAAGTGCTAAGTTTTAGAATATACCTACCTGTTGAATCCATCTTCATCTCTCTGCACAGTTATTTTCTATTTATAGATTTAGAATATGAATTGTACTAGCAGAGTAATGGATTTGATTAAAATATACAATTACCACCTATTGCACTTAAACTACTTATAATGGTCCAGTTCAAGATGGTGATGGCAGCAGGCTTCTAAACACATCTCCTCCCATGGACAATGAATCTACAGCTACATACAGAACAATTTGCTCTGCGAGAAATCCGGAAACTAGCTGTGTGACTCCTACACACTGGACCAATGAGAGAAAACTTATATTGAAAGAGATCGGAATGGCTGTATCGCTATATCATCATAAGCTCCACCTCTGGCAAAATGACTCACAAGGAGGGAACTCAGAACTCCCAGCTTCTCCCTGAGGAGCAAAGGTTTGAATGTCATGTATGGTGCCCCAACTTTTAAGATTTCTGCCTGCAGGATGGGCTGCCAAAACATCCAGCTTTGAAAGCCAAGAGGGCATGTGTTCATGACTCACAATGCTATCAAAAACTCAAAGACAGTTAGTAAAGGCCTCATGTGACTTACATGGCTAAACCCCCAGAGTCCAGCACAGAAGCTACAGATTTACACAGGCCAGTCTGTTATCAGCAATATGGGGAGACCTCAGTGCTTGTCTTCTTGAAGAAAAGATTTTGATCAAGGACAAAATGTAGAAAACAAGCAAAAATTTATTGACTGCAGCAAAAACATACTCAGGACAATGAAACAAGGAAGGGCATAGCCAAGAAGAAGCGATGGGAGAGCCTAGACTGAGCTGCTTTGGTCCGTGGAGAAGTCAGAGAAAAGGAGGCCTTAGAGATAGGCTCAGGGGGTTAGCCTGGGATGAGCTGCTGCTGCCCATTGCTCTCCTGGTTGCAGCCTTGTGGGGTCCCTCGGAGTTTAAGAGATATGTGCTTGTGGGGGAAGGGGAGGTGGAAGAGAATGGCATGGGTGTGCTCCCTGAAGGGAGTGTGCCCAGGAGAGCCTAGGCTGAGTTGCTTTGGCTCACTGGGAAGTCAGAGGAAAGGGGGGCTTGAGGACAGTTTCAGGGGTGATAGCCTGGGATAAGCTGCTGCTGCCCATTTCTCCCCTGGTTGTAAGTCTCGCGAGGTCCCTTAGAATTTAGGAGATGCATGCCTGTGGGGGGAGAAAGTGGGGAGCTCAGGTGTACTCCTGGGAAGGAGAGTGTGCTGGGTCTTTATTTTGAGGGGTTTTAAAGGCTGGGTATTTAGGAGAGGTCTTAGGGGAGGATCAATAGAATATTCATCAGCTTTATGCTGATGTACCCAAGTGAGATTTATTCCCTTAATTTGTCTACCCTTGGGAGTGGTTGGCCAATGGCACTAATTGGATTTCTGTTATCTGTCTCCCTGAATGGGGTGATTTAAGCTATTTATTTACCGTCTGGTTGGAGAGGAGAAGTAGAAACCATTTGCTCTTAAGTGTCCTTGGTTTGGGGAAGGTAGGGTTTACTAGGTGGCTGCACACTGCTGTTTAACTATCTGTCTCAGTTTCCATATTCTCCTTGTCCTGGAATTTTTCTAGCTTCTTACTATTCTATAACAAGTCTTTCTCTGAAGGCAGCATATTTGCCTTAAAAAAGCATTTTTTTTATTGTTGAAAGTATTACAGATGTCCCCCTTTTTTCCCCATTGAAAGCATATATTTTTAAATTTGGGGGCACAGGCTTCTAATTTAACACATATCTAGGGGCCAACTACAATACTCTCCAGAGATCAGAGAGGCCAACAGAAGCCAACTTTATGCTCTCCCTCTGTCTCACCACAGGTCACTGGTGTCCCCCAAAAGGAGCTTGTGGCTGCCATTCAGGAGACACATTCATTGATAGCCTGGCTCTGATAGCCAGCAGGCTTGTGTTCATGGATTCAAAGAGAAGGTGGCATGCAAAGAAATAGTTCTTAACTGCCCATCCCTCCCTACAGTTCAAATAGAAGAGAAATGCTCATTGCCCAGTCTTCCCCTAAAAGAAGTATGTTTGCAGACTTTAAAAGTTGTTACTTGAGCCCTGGCTGGTCTGTTTTAGTGGTTAGAGCATCGGCCTGTGGACCAAAGTGTTGTAGGTTCGATCCCCTGCCCCAGTCAGGGTCATGCAGGAGGCAACCAGTTAATGTGTCTCTCTCACACAGATGTTTATCTCTCTCTCTCTCTCTCTCTCTCTCTCTCTCTCTCTCTCTCCCCCTCCTTCCCTTACATTCTATCTAAAAATTCAATGAAAAAATATTCTTGAGTGAGAATTAACCAAAATATAAATAAATGAATAACAGTTGTAACCTTAAAGTCTGTCTTCCAATCAGCCTGCATCTAGGCATTGACTGAGATCCTACTCTTTGGGAGACTCAAAGGTTTTGGCACTCTCTGAACTACTAGGAGCCACTAATAATAAGAAGACTGCTTGGACAATCACAAAGATCTGAGAGACAATTAAGAGCTAGGGCAGAGTTGAATGGGAGGTTTTGTCTACTACAAAACATACTTCTTTAACACTGGGAGAGGTGGCTGTTTTATCTAATTCATAGAAACCAACACAGAGAGGCAAGGAAAATGAAAACAAAAGGATTCTATTTTTTCAAAAAAGATAAAAACTCAGAAAAGACCTTAATGGAACAGAGATGAGTGACTTACCTGATAAAGAGTTCAAAAGAAGGGTCGTAAAGATACTCATTGAGACCAGGAGAACTATGCATGAACAAAGTGAACATTTAAACAAGGGATAGAAAGTAAAAGACAGTGTCAAACACAAATAACTGAAGAATATAGGAACTTACTGAACATTTCAATAGAGGGATTCAACGTCAGAAAAAATGAAGCAGAAAAACAAAAAAGAATTTTAAGACAGGGTGGTGGAATTTATCCAATCATAAGAGCATAAAAAAAATGAAGTTAACATAAGGTCTTATGGGATAACATCAAGTGGATCATGTTGGTTAGCAAACTGGCCCCTTACTCAGAGGGCAAGGAGAGGCTGAAGAAGCAGGAGACAACAGGTTGGGAGGTGGCAGGTTTAATAAACAAGAGATCTTGCTTAGGAGATTTGTCTTTGTTCCCAAAAGATGAGTAGATCTCCTCATTTTTTGCCACACTCTTAAAAATTTATATAGAGATCTTAACTCAGTTCAGTCATGTATACCATCCAAATGGTCTCAACCATTTGCTCATAAGTACCTTATGCTCTCAAGGTTATGTCCTTGAAATAGCTCCCACCATGGGAACAGTAGGTAGAGCTTACATTTCAAGGACAGAGTAGGGGCAAGGAACTCTTACAATCTGGGTCTATCTTGTTAGACAACCAGCAGTCTGACTTTTAATTACCTCCACCAACAGATCAACATTTGCATTATAGGGATCTGAGAAAGAGAAGAGGAAGATAAAGAGTCAGAAATTGTATCTGAAGAATAATGGCTAAAAGCTTCCATAACATGGAGAAAGACACAATACATCTAGATCTAAGACGCAGAGAATTTCAGGAAGATCAATTCAAAGAGACCCACACCAAGGCACATTATAATTAAATTGCCAAAAATTAAAGACAAGGAGAGGATCTAAAAAGCAGCAAAAGAAAAACAATTGTTGCCTACAAGGGACCTCCCATATAATCATGAGCATATTTTTCAGCAGAAACTTTGCAGCCCGAAAGGGGGTGAGATGATATATTTAGAGTTCTGAAAGAAAAAGAAACAGCCAACCAAAAATATTCCACAGGGCAAAGGTATCTTTCATAAATGAGAGATAAGTGGTTTTCCATACAAGCAAAAGCTGAAAAAGTTTATCACCACTACACCAGTCTCACAAGAAATGAAAGGACTCTAATTAGCAACAGGAAAACACACAACAGTATCAATCTAACTGACAAAGGTAAATATATAGTTAAATTAGGAACAATCTAAAGTTGCAATGGTGGTAAGTTAATCCCTTCTAAATGTAGTATGAAGGTTAAAACAACAGAAAAAGTAATAAAAAAAATAACTACACCACAATGATTTGTCAATGGATATAGAAGGTTAAAAGATGTAAATTTTGATATTGAAAGCACAAAACATGTTTGAGGAGAAAGAAAAATATAGATCTCTAGAATGTATTCAAACTTATTTTCAACTTAAAACAGACTGTTGTGAGTATAAGATGTTTTATGTAAGCCTTATGGTGAC